CAAAACCAATTTTATACGCTGATGATACCAGCATAATATGCTTTAACTATGATTCTGTTGAACACGTTAAGGTGTTAAAAATGATATTAATCAAAATAAATAAATGGTTCATGATTAATTCACTAACATTAAATATTGACAAAACTAATTATGTACATTTTTCATCAAAATTAAATACAAAATGAAGCATAAATCTGAAGTATGAGGATATCCAAATTAATAGCACAAGTAATACAAAATTCCTTCGACTAATTATAGACAACACCTTATCGTGGAAAGATGATATAAGTCATTTGGTAGTGAAATTGAGTGCGGCTAGTTACTCTATAAGAATCTTGTCTGAAGTAATGACTCAGGAGAGTTTAAGGATGATTTATTTTGCGTATGTACTCTCTATTATATAATATGGAATAATAATCTGGGGCAATTCGACCCATAGTAATTTGATATTTAAAATACAAAAAAGAATAGTGAGAATTATTATGAAGGCAAGGAATAAGGACTCCTGTCATCCCCTTGTTTAGGCAATTAAATATTCTGCCCTTATTATCGCAATATATATATATCTTGTATTAATATTCGTAGCCAAGAACATCGACATATACAAATTTAATTCTGCCATACATAGCATTAACACCAGACAAGTTACACATTTACATTTTCCAACTAATAAATCTGCTAAGCTGCAGAAGGGTTTATATTATTCAGGGATTAGGATATTCAATAATTTTCCACGAAGCACTAGGAATTTGTCAAATAATATTATTAAATTCAAACAAGCTTTAAAAAGATTTCTTCTTATTGGCTCATGATATTCCCTAAATGAATACTATGAATGGAACTCAAGGGGTGAACTTGATTCTTACAAATAGCATACGCAGATCATTTGAACAGTTCTATAATTGAATCTGTAGACGAGCATATACTTTGATTTGTGTATATAGTGGACATGACTTTTGTTTATATTAATAATTTTATCATTATAATTTACAATTATATATTGTTTTATCAGTGTTTGTATTGGTTCTTTATATATTCTTGTGAGAAAGTTTTCAATATGTATTTATGGCTAGTGTATGTCTTATATTGCATTATTTTTATGTTTGACATTTGTCATATTAATTGATCCCTAGCACAGCATTGTTAATTTAGATATAGGACTTTGTTCTGCTTGTGAATCTTGTTGTGATTTGCCTTGCCAGCATCTTGCTAACTTTGTTATATATATATTTATATTTTTAACTTGTTTCAACAGCTGTTGGATCATATCTCATTTTTCTGTTTTGACATGTTCTATATCCAATGGTTTTATACCTGTAACTGGATCTACTAGAATATAAAAAGATATGATATGATATGTTATGATATGATATGATATGATATATGGCATTATCAGATACCGCGAAAGAAGCCATTTTCTTGAGAAAATTGTGGTTTGATATATGTAACAAGGAAATTACTATTCCTATTTTTTGTGATAATCGTGGTGCTTTAGCTATAGCAAAAAATCCTGTCAGTAATGACCGAACAAAACATATTGACATAAGAGTTCATTTTGTAAGAGAGAGGGTTGAATCAAAGGAATTGTCAGTACATTACATTCTTGGAAATCAATTAGTTGCTGATGGTTGTACAAAAGGTTTAAATGTACGGAAATATACTGATATTATTAATTCACTTGGATTGTGCTAAGAAAAAAGAGTCCAAATGATGTTCAAAATAATAATTTTTTGATAGATTGATTCATGAATAAGTATTTTTTTTTTTCCCCAAGATTGTTTAAGGGGGACTGTTATGTTGGCAACCCTCTAATGTTAAAATATAATGCTAGAGTTGGCAACGTCATAGTAATCAATTTTAAATAATAGACCGCGCTACGAGCGCTGTTCCAAATTTTTCTATTCTTGTTTGGTACCACGGTTATGAGTGTAGAGAAAGAATTTATGTATTGTTATGTGTGTGTTTATATATAAAACATTTTTTGTGTATCAAAAGTTAGTCTTAATACAGCAGAGTTAGATTGAACACTTATTCTTTCTTCTCATTCGATCCACGTAGGAGTGACAATAACATGTAAATGAATGGTTTTCTATGTGTATTGATGACGACGTTTTTGAAACGAAATCGTGAGTTGCAAATGCCGTTATCGAAATTATGCTTTGGCAAAAGAATATGCATCACGGGGAATGTAATTTCAGCTTTCGAATTAATAGAAACAGTATGAGTTCATTATTATTGCTTTAGGCAGCCAAAAGAATTTTTAAGACAAGCACAGCAAAACTTAATTCAGAGCACATACTGATAGGAATAAAGCTTAATATAGTTTGGTAGAGGTAAAGTCATTTTCAGATCAGAAGGAGTGAGTTAAGAGATAGTAATAATTTAATGTAGGCTAGAATACTTTAAAGTTGCGATTTAAACTTTTAATTGTCAGTGGAAGATTATTGCATAACTGGTAATGTGTGTATGTTACTGATAGTGAAGTTAGCATTTGGCATGTGTAGGTCATATTTATGCCTAGTGTGTAATTGTGTACGGATGTATTTCTGTGAGATTTCCAAGTTTTCCACCACAAATGATAGCAAAATATGTATTTGCGTGCAAGCAGAAGTACATCAGATTTCTGAAAGGGAGACTGCTCTAACAAGCGCTGTTATTCCAGTTAGGTTCCCATAATTGTGAAAACTAGAAAGTGTGTGTAGACCTACAATTGGTACTGGTACTACAGTGGAGGATGCTTGGCTAAGCTGGAGATAGATAGCCAAGTGTTGCTCCTAACCACTCAAGGTAAGAAAGAAGACCAATAATGTAAGTAATCGTAATTAACATAATAGTTCTAGTTGACTTTACAAACATGACTAAATTTGAACCAACCCTCGTTTAAATGATGTATTATTCAGTCTCTTCAACCATATTTCATGTGCAGCTGTGGATCTATACATATACACCCCCATACATCTTCATGGCATAGTGCTTAATTAGCTATGGTATGGATATAAACAAAGAACTCAGGATTGGATCATTACACACAAACTGCTGATTACAGTTAACAGATATAGAAATGTGAATATCAGATTTCATGAAACAGTTCATTTTGTTGAAGTTTTCAGCTACATGTACATAGGCACAACATATCAGAATTTTTATTGCAAATTTGGCACTGATCAATCCTAGTCTTCTTTTTTTATTTGGATTATAAATGACTGTGAACTTTATTTACATTGATTCTCGGTAATATTAAATGAAGAATGTTATATTTTGATCTTATTGGAGCTTTAGAATGATCTATAATATCATTCCATTGTCTGGGACGTGCATTGCGGTATTTATGTGGAAATTTCTGGATTGTGGCAGGGCCAAGGAGCCCGGAGTTAAGAGCAGTCATTAATTTAGTTCGGGTACAGGAAACCAGACATGCCTAAGAAAGTCAGTGAAAAAGCCAAGTGAAAACTTGTTATAATTGCCTGTGGATGAGGACCACTCAAGGCCCATTTCCACATGGGTAGTCTGCTGCATTGTAGTAAACTGAGTAGGAATCTTTCCTTCCTTACACCTCATGTGAAACAGATATTTCCAGAATGTGTTTAAAAAACCCTAGAAGATGGAGATCGAGAATAATAGTTGTGTATATTGTAATATACAGTTGTGAGGGTTCAGATACCTGTTCCCATTTGTTGACAGGCCTGTTATGCTGACCTACATGAGATATAATGTGGGACTGAGGAGGCAACATCCTGATATTATGGCTGTTCGGGCTTCACCATGGTTCCTTTGTGGGTGTTGAAATGGTAGAAGGTTCTGGTATTTTGGAGGACTTGCTGCCAGATATTTCTATCATCAATGATGAAACACCAGTTATCATTACTGTTTTGATGTGACACAGCACATGGATCCAGGAAATTCTTCCCACCTGCTCAAGGGGAATCTTTTTACAGTAATGGAGAATGTTGAGTTCGAGTTTTGAAGTGCATAAGTACCACAAGCTGTCTCCCTCACCCTCTATAATTTGTAGACCAGCTGCAAGGAGCCTATTACAGAAGTATGTGCCCCATTAGGTACTTTCTGTTTTCTCATTTGATTATAGTTGAACTCTCAGTTCATGCTTATCTGATTAATGTTTTCCTTCACTGAATACTCAGTTTCAGTGATTTCAAGTCTGTATTATCTGTCTCCATTTTAAATTTCCTGCATTTGAGAGTTTTGGCAGTATAGTCCACCTCTCTCCAAAGAAGAACCATTCTGGAGAGTATAAAACGTCAGTACAGATCAGTCCTCAGGGCTGAGGTCTGTACATGTGATTTTCCATTCCTTACCAGCAGAGGGATCCCTTACGAGCAGAAACCACTGCTCAAATTCTCCAGTATATTGGTTTTGGTGATGCAGTGTGCCATATGCTTTAACCGTGAACACACCAAATTTATCTCTCTTTCCAGTAACCCCTTTATTTTCGAAATCTGCGTTGAAATATAAGTTGTGCTGGATTTTGGTAGCACAGATCAGTTTCACAACATCATCTGCGCCGTTTTTTGCTTCAGCTGTAAAACGCATTTCAGAATCTTAAAACTAACTGCATTTTACACTTCTGCCAGAAATGCTCATATAGCTGTGTGCGCAGACAGTGCCCGTCATTCTGGTTCAGCGCTGAATCAAACCACTGTGCAAACTGAAAAGCCAGCTCATCAGCCTCACACCCTTCTACATCATCTCCTGGGTGTGTTGAATGGTGGTCCATAACAGGCACTGATGTCGACTGAAAAATTCAAAACGTCATTATAAAATACAGTGTAATACACAGAGAAAGGCTGTAGCATCATCATCACTGCAGAGACTTGTGGCATGCCTGCTTCCACATACACAGCCATACAGGAACAAAATGCACTCTAGCACAGGTTTACAAATAAATGACATGAAGCCTGGTCCATTCTGATAAAAACTGGCATCATCCACAGCAGGAGCCCTACTTTGATCAATGAACTGAAGAATAAAAGAGTTTTTTAGCACATATCCAGCAGAGAGTGCATGATTATAGACTGCAGAAGTTCTTTGGACTGTGATTAACAAATAATTGAATTCACTCATGTGAAAGGGCATTTATTACGTTAAAAAAAGATTGAACAAACTAAGAATAATATTACTTTTTGCAAAAACACGTGTTGATTTCAACTTAACAGAGGAAATGAGGAAAATAAATACAGTAGAACTTGGTTATAACGTCATCAAAGGGACCTAAAGATAGTGTCGTTATAAACGAATGTCGTTGTAACCAAAGTGGGCACTTCCACAGTAGCCTTATGTTAGTCACGTAAAAATCTACCAAAAACTGAGTTAAAATGTTGCATTTTTTAGTGAAAAACGTAGTTAAGTACAGACTAACGTAACATTATCATGGAATTGCCCAAATGTGTAATATCAGAGACATATTACAGCACTTTTTACTGACAATACACACAATATTTCACGAATCACTTTAACTTTCTCTTCAATGCTTAAAACTTTCCTTTTCATTGCCATGTTTTCGCTACTGCACTTCTCTGGGTTTAGGCAGGAACACTATAGGGTAAGTAGACAATGTGAGGTCCTGTTAGACGAGATTCTAGGAAAGGAATGCAGTTAACAACCTGCCGCGTCCTCTTG